TACAAAAAATCTCCTACATCTAAGGCTCGGGGAACATTGCTGAAGACAGGATGGACAGAATGTAAGAGCCAGAGGATCGTGGACTTTGCTGTGGGATTGTATCTCCTTGTAACACCAGAAGCTACACCCGTAAAGTCTTACCAACATGACTACCCAACCATGATCTGAACAAGGATGACACCAATGGATATGCCGAGTTGGACAGGAAAAAGCTAACAAGACTTTGACCATACACAGAGAACTAGCTTCATGCAGCAGACTAAACTGGGAGCAGAAGAAGTGGTCCTCCGCAGGGAAGAGCATATCATTGGTCTGTCCACTGCCAGATGATTAGCCTTGAAAATATGTATGTAACAGCATATGGACGCAACATGTTATATTTGGAAATAACAGACAATAACAACTAGTGAAAAAAACTTTAAGGTGAGGAGGGAGGGGTATATGGGAGAGTTTGGAGAAAGGAAAAAGAAGGGAGAAATAATGTAATTAAATTTAAATGTCAAAAAGAAAAAAAATGCTATAAAATAAATAGTTTCTCCCCACCCCCTCCCAAGGGTCACTCCTAACATTCAGTGCATTCCAAGTTTCAAACAGCAGGAGAAGGGCTGATGGCCCAGTGGAAAAAGGCACTTGTATCCAAGTCCTGATCTGAGTTCGCCCACCAGAACCCACACAAAGATGAAAGAAAAGAACTGACTCCAGGTTGTTCACTGATCACCACATGTGTATTGTAGCATTCATGCTCTCTTTGTCACACACACACACACACACACACACACACACACACACACACACAGGCATGCACGCATGCAAACACACGCACACACATGCAGGAAGACCTAAAGTTTATTCCCCTAGAACCCTAGGACACTCTTCATGCCTGTTATTTCTCAGAGATGCAGCGTGTGAATTTTTGCTGCCCTACATTTCTATAAACAGGAAGACACTCTCTTAAGTCCACCATCTGGACAGAAATGAAAGTATAGCACAGGTGTGAGAAAGTAGAGAAGATGAGGTATGTTTGAAAACAAATGATTTCTCATAGCAATGCATAGTTAATGGTTTTTGAGGGTTTATGTTTATGGTTTTCTATGAGGGTGTGTGTGTGTGTGTGTGTGTGTGTGTGTGTGTGTGTGTGTGTGTTTGTGCTTATGTGTAAGGGCTCATGGTAAAGCTGCCCATAGAGGTTGAAGGCACGTAATTACTTTTCTCAAAATGCAGTAGATAGTAGTAACTGCTTAGTTAATGTTTCAATAAATTTCTATTCAGCTCAAGATGGTCACATGATTTCAAACACAAATTCCTAATCTTTTTGATATGTTTTTGATTGGTAGATTTGTTTTAATGATATATCTCCTTAGTAAGCAAAGACTATGAAATACGTTTTGATTGTGCAAATCAGAAATCTGAGTATGTTTTTATTTTAGTTTTATTATGTGTGTGTGGTGTGTGTGTGTGTGTGTGAGTGTGTGTGTGTGTGTGTGTGTGTGTGTGTGTGTATACTCCTGTCTCTAGTGCCTTATGGTGAGGTTACTGTCATGCCCACTTTTTACTTGGGTCCTGTGACTTGAATTTGGGTCCTTGCATTTGTATGATAAATGTTCTTACCCACTGAATTTTTTCTCAGCCAGCTCCTTGGTTTTATATATTTTATTTAGTTTTTTTTTTTTAACTTTTTGTGTTTATCACTCTTTAACAGCACCAGAGTGTGGCTGGAGTTTTCTCCAGTCCCTCCTGGGCCCATAGCTGCTCAGACCCAAATAAACACACAGAGACTTCTAATACTTCAGAGAGAAAGAAATTTTGGGTTTCTCAGTACTTTGGGTCAATTTACTAAATTCAACTAGGCCTACAAATCTCCAAAAGAGTACCTCTTACAGTTGCAATGCTTCATAAATACTTCCCTTTCTATGTTTATTTAACTGTCTTACTTTTTTTTTGCTAAATTTTAAATTTTTGTTATATTAAAAAATACTTTTAAATATAAATACGTTTTGACCACATTCTTCCCCTCTCCCCAGTCTTTCCAAATCCTCTCCCCCTCCTTAAAAACCCAACTTTAAGTTTCTTCTAAAAAAAAAAAAAACATGAACCAATCAAACAAACAACAAAAAGCCAATGCAACAACAAAATCCCCGAAAACCAGGAAAACAAAATAAAGCCACACACAAGATAAAAAAAAAAAAAAAAACCGAACAAAAATAAAACACTAAACATTGAACTGTATCCAAATAAAAGCAAAAAAGAATAATGCAATACAATACAATATAATACAAATTAAAAACTGTGGAGTCCATTATATGTTGGTCAACTACTCTTGAACTTGAGACTTATTTTGGAGTGGCTGATATACCCAATGTCTCTCCATTGGAGAACACTAATTTTACCTCTCTTGGTAGGTACAAGTGACAGTTCAGTTGTTAACCTTTACCATAGTCTCTAGGTTTGCATTCATTTTTTTAATATAAGAAACTAAAATATAATAAGAGAAAACAAAAACTATCACATCCAAGTTAGACAAGACAGACCAACAGAACTATGTTTTAAGATAAGATCGACTATGAAGGTTCCACACACTCATCACATCACTGAACATAGAAAATCCTTCATGAACCTCCCTGTTTCTCTTCCCATTCTCCTGATCCCAATCCTCATCTCCAAGGGGGGCCCTTACACTTTTATGTCTTTATATAAGTGAAAAACTGATATTGGTCTGAGTGTAATTTCCTACTTTATCTGAGATAATGATCTCTGATTCTATGACACAGTTCTGTTATTCTTTATGGTTGAATAAAACTCTATTATGTATAGATGCCATACTTTGTTTAGTCATTCATTTATCTTTTGTTGGAAATCTAGGCTGATTCTGTAAGGTGGTTATTAAGAATAGTCTCACAATAGAAATTATTTTATAGTTATCTCTACTGTAGGAAGACTTTAACTCTTTCACATATATATCCAAACCCTTCTTTCTCCACCCCATCTATCTTTCTCTCTCAAAAACTTCATGCAGATTTCCAGTATCTGCACTAATACTGATTTGCATGCCTGTCAACATTGACAAAGGTTCTCTTTTCCCCAGATATTCACCATTTTTGTGTATTTTCTTGATAGCCATTCTAATTCAGTGTGATGAGATCTTAGTTTTGATTTGCATTTCCCTGATGGGGCTACACATGTTGAACATTTTCTTCATGTGTTTATTATCTACTTGAATTTCATCTTTTGAATACTACCTGTTTAATCCATATGCCTGTTTATTTACTGGCTTGTATGTGGATTTTGATTTTTAACTTTTTTTGTATTGCCTGGATATTAACCAAATAGTTGGGAAGGACCCTTTTCCCATTCAATAGTCTGTCTGGTTACTCAGGTGACTTTTCTTTTTTTGTGCAGAAAAGGTTTAATTTTTGATACATTCCCACTTGTCAGATTTTGTTGTTTCCTGAGCTATTTGAGGTCTGTGCAGAAGAGCATTGTTTATGACCAGATTTGCTTTGACTTTTATAGCTTGTCTCTTAGATGAACCCTTTGCCTCAAGCTGGATGTTATGCTCATATAATGTATTCCCTGCCCTTCCATAATTAAATGGTTTTAATTGGATCACATCTCATTTATGATTCATTTTAATTCCATGTGTTTAATATGTACACCTTTAAGCTATATCATCCTTTTTTCCCCTGGTAAATAAATTGCTAGCATTCCATGTTATTTTATGCATACCCTCTGTGCTTCTTTACTATTCAGATGACCTGAAGTAGAAACTATACTATCTTATGAAGTACTGTTTATGACACATTAGTTTAAGAGTTGAAAATTTGTAAGATGAATTGCTAAATGGTCTTATTAAAAACAAACAAATAAACAAACAAAAAAAAACCCAGAGCCAGATATTGAGGTAAAAACTGAGAGATCAGGGAAGCAGAAAGAAGCCAGCTATATTCTTACCTCTAGAAATCCTCACCCAAAGAGACCTACTTCCTATATATTCATGCCTATATCCTTTCTGTCCCTGCCTCTTACTTCCTCTTTCTGCTCAGCTACATCACTTCCTGTCTGTCTGTACAGACCTCCAGACCTCCATGGTTAGTGTTAGAATTAAAGGCTTGTGTCACCACACCTGGCTGTGTTCCCAGTGTGGCCTTGAACTCACAGATGTCCGGGTGGATCTCTGCCTCCCAATGCTAGGATTAAAGGCGTGTGCTACCACTGTCCACCTCTGTTTATTATAGTGGTCAGCTTTTCCCTCTGATCCACAGATAAGTTTTATTGGGATACACAAATAAAATATCACCACAAAAATTGCTTCTGCCTGTTAATTTTCCTGAATTCGAAAATGAGAGAGCTTCACGATATCAGCTATAATATTGTTTGCCAATCATTTCAGATAAAATCAATTCTTCAGATAAAGAAAAACAAATATATCTTACTTCAAATTACTCATATGTTGTTGGTTTGATTTTTTTTTTTTTTTTTTTTTGAGATAGGGTCTTACTATATATAAAGCCCTTGTAAGCCTGGCTCTTGTTTAAACCAAGCTGGACTTGAATTTCTGAGGAATTCTCTGGTGTAACCTCAA